ACTGCGCCACCACGTCCCCTTTTTAGCTGAGTATGTTGTATAAACTCAACTTTTGTGGTTTGTAAACCATGGTAAATGGCCACAGCTTGTTAAAAAAAAAGATTACTTAGTTCAGTTCCCAGCTATTTTTCCATGATGGAACTGTAGTTCAGCCTGAGATATTCTGAAAGCCAAGCATTGTCATGGTGATTTTGTCTCCTGTTAATGTATATTACTTCCAATAGTGTTTTATGCTTGTGAATAGATTTTAAGAAATAAATAGGGAACTGGAGGACTTCCGCATGTTGCTGAATACAGTTTCTAGTACCCAGGTATGCTGGCTGGAGCTGATGTGGGATGTAGTTCAAAGTAATTTGGAGAGTTAGCAATTCCACACTTCTTATTCAGAAAAATGATGCAGAGAATCTTAATATTTTCCAAATGTATCTGGGAACAGGATTCAGGATTTCAGTGTCAACATAGCTGACCGATCCTGTACATATTATTTTCATATGGAAATACTCCGGGTGGCTTTTTAAATTAATTAATTAACTAGACTTATAAGGTCACCCAACTCAAACAATGTGACTCTGGGCACTATACAACAGAAAAACAAACCAGAAAAAAAGCCAAATAACATAAAACAAACATTATATAAATATTAAATGCAAGATATAAAATGGTGACCAAGACCAATAATAAAAATAACCAAAAGGGGATCCTGAACTGGACCCAAATCCCTGGGGGAAAAGCCAGATGGTTGCAGAGCACAGGGGGAACTATCAAAAAGGTACACTGCCTAGGCTCTCTGAGATGGCAAAGTTTAAAAGAGGGAACTTGGAGTATGTCTTCCCAATGGGAGCGTGGGGGCCAGCAGATGTTTGTGGGAGAAGGCGATCCCACAAGTAACCTGGTCCTATGCCATGTAGGACTTTAAAGGTGATAACTAGCACTTTGAATCACACCCAGAAGTCTATTGGAAGCCAGTGCAGCTCACGAAATAGCAGTCTTACATGGGTGTAACGAGCTGTGCCCATAACTTCCCATGCTGCTGCATTCTCAACCAACCGAGCTTCCAGATGGTCTTCAAGGCAGCCCCATGTAGAGTGTTACAGTAGTCCAATCAGGAGGTGACTAAAGCATGAATGACCATGAGAAGGGCTTTCTGGTCCACAACTCTCATTTGCAGGAGCTTTGAGTCCAGGAGAACCCCCAGATTGCATACCAAGTCTGAATGTGGCAGTGCCACCCCATCCAGAACCAAAGATGGAAACACTCCAACTCGTGGATCCAGGGGACCCAAAATTCATAACTAAAACCCATGGTCACTTAGTTTTATAGTGCAGGTAGCAATCTGTTTGCAAATGAATGAAGTATGTAACCAACTTACAGAGATCAACAAGAACTTGTCATGTTATTAAACAATGAAGCAATGAGAGAATCCCTTCTTTTTATTATTTTAGCACCATAGAGTTATATGATCTAGCTCTATAAAGTTTGTTACTTTATAAATATCCACAGTATGAGCCTTAGAAAGGAGGGTTAGATTGCAGACAGGAGCATCCACTGGGGAGATGGTGTTAAAAGTCAAACTTGTGGGCATGACCACATGATTGAAGTCTTGCCTCTTTTTAATGTATATCATCTGTGTGGTGCACATAAAAAGGGACAGGGCTTTGATTGCATGGTTGTGGCTGCCATCTCCATGCAGTCACCTCAGTTGGCAATCAGTATTTTATAGCAGTGATATACAGTCAGGTCCAGAAATATTGGGACATCGACACAATTCTAACATCTTTGGCTG